GCGATTCGCTGATTCCTAAAACATTGCAGTGTTCCGTGCAGAATAGAAAGCTGTCTATGTTCTGTCATTCAAACACACTTTGAATTCTGAAGCATATGCAGAAAGAAAATTTGAACCACACGCAAAGGAACACCTGACATGTCTGCCGTATATAAAATACTGACCGCTGCAAAGCCTATAGGAAAAATAAGTTATAAATATCATAGAAGAGGTGCTCACTGTTCTGAATAGAGCGTGGAGCATTTAAGTTACGGTCTGCTTTGAAAGTTTGGTAAAAAGCGCTTGCAGACCGTCAGGTAGCAACAAATAGGAATGCAGGAGGAATGTTGACAAAGACGTGGGAGACTGTACGGCCATTTCGGTCTTATTGTCGATAAAAACCGCCAAACCAAAGAGCCTATAGCTTTTTGATAGCAGACGTGATATAACACTGAATGTTCAAAGAGGTCGGCAATTAACACCGAGGTTATCTAACCTTAACTTTGACTGGGTCAGAAACGGCCGCCTCAGTCTCTCTTTCCTCCTTTTCGGTATTTCTTCTGCAGGAATAATAGCAATAAATTAGCTCCTCACACATCCGGCCACACAGCTGAGTTTTTAAACTGCCTAGGAGAAAACCCTGCGTAATACAAGCAATTGTGCATGACAGCACGTCCCGGTAAGGACGGGCCACGGTGAAGATTTTGCGACAGATTTTCATCCAATCGTTTGGCATGAAAGAATAAAAAGACGACCGTATGCACTACGGCAATTGCAGCATTCTCCTCGTGCCTACCGATGGTCTCATCTTTTCTGACACTTAAAATTTTCAGTTCAGTCATTTTTGCCGGATTTTTTTATTTAACTAACTTCACACAATGTTTCTGCAATTTCAACTGGTTCTACAGTTGTTCACACACCAAGGCCAGTTTCTGCGTGTAAAGGACTAGAGTTTTTTGGCGTGATTGCTGGTTTAGCCGTTGTGACAGCTTTCAATTATGTCGCTGCAAGTGGCCTTCACAATATCCTGACCGTCCTGCTAGTCATTCTGCCTTCTCAGCGCTGACAAATGAGCGTCTAGCAAGCGAACTCTGAGCGCTGCCGGGTTCGCATATTTATTACCGGTTGGAATGTCTGCACTACGCGCTGTCAGTAGTATTCCTTTGAATGAATCCGACCGACCAGCCCAGCAGTGCTCCGTCCATCGTTGCTACTGCCGCTTTTCATTTTAATCTGGCCGTGAGTCACAACACAAACTCCCCTGCAGGGCGTCGGTCGTTGTTACAGCATAGTGGACGTGCACAAAGCGCTTCGCCTTTGGGCGTTAACGTCGGACCTGTGTTAACTTGCGTGTCTAAGTTAGAGAAGGAGAGGAAGAGAGAGAGAAGTGGAGATAGAAAGTTCCGGCCGTTGGAGTAGGGACAAGAATGACCCTTAAATCAACGACCTGGAACGGTCAGGCAATATCTTACAAATAAAGGCCCATAAGTCCGGATCCAGAGTCCCTTTAGAGCGCCCGTCTTACTAAGGCGCATTATTGCCACTCATACGTTACTCTGACTTCTGTGTGAGAACCTGTGGCAGAGGTGTAGGAGGGCTAAGTGAGCCGGTCCTTTTTACGATGTCGAATACTCGGCAATACGGTTATCCAAAGATCGTCAAGACAGGCTTGACGCATTTGCCCTAGAGCAAATGATTAAGGCTCGCTTACTGGACAGTCTTTCACATGAAGTTTATGTGGGTGTGTACACAGCCTGCGAAGAGAACGCTTAAAAGCAAATTAAATTAGCGATGAGACAGAGTTATCGGCTGAATCCTTAGACACTGTTCATCTTGAGAATCCAGAAATACATAGGTATTTTGGCAGATTGTTCGAGTAACTAGGGTCCCAAGCGAAGACTCCCAAGGAAGACTCCCCGAAACTGCCCGATCCTTTGGAGAATAAATTATGTCAGAAGTGCGTAGCTGTTTATTTTAATACACTGCAGTTAACCCATTTTATCTGCTTACCCAACCAACTGAGTACTTTTATTTCGTCGTCCGCAGATCTGGTAGATCTAAGGATTGAAACGCCGACAATGAGGATGGGTGACTGCCTACCAAAAATGAGAAGGCGCTAAAGGATAAAGAAATCTAACAAACGGGCACGGTCCCACAAGTAGACGGATTCTGTACTAGTGTTGAAGTCGACAGAGTCGATCCCACGTCTTCTCGTCAGCCGTTTTAGCTGAAAGTCTATGGTAGATTTCGACTAATTTTAGACCACTAGTGAGCTGGATCACTCATTTTTATCGAACCAAATGTTGAAACGAAGAAGTTGTTACTATGTATGTCTCATGTCCACTTTGCTTACTACGACCCCAGCTACGTTCATCTGTGGGAAGACTCAGAGGATAGCATACGTTCTGGGCACAAAACGAGACGGCCTACTGACTTTAAGTTAATTTAGATCATCAGCATAGACCAAGCAAATCTAGGGGGTCATGAAACCTTACCCGTTTAAGGCAGATCATGCCGTGCGATGTGAGAGCAGGAACCACTCGAGCAATGCTGAATTGTACGGCGACGGCGAGTTTTATGGGGGCGGGAACGAGTGCAACAGTTTCAGAGAATGTTGACCGATTTGACTGCCATTTAAAAGTTGTCATTGTCGCTCAATAGGGCCAAAATGCTTTGGTCCGGACGACAGCGGCCCAATTAATCGGAATGAATGTCCTGAAATTTTGGTTTAGAGCAGGCACTCACATCTCCACTAGAACCCAGGGACTCGGAATACGTGACGACCATATTGCTTGCTGCAGTATCGCACAGTTAATTACATGCCTCTTGTTGAATATCGTGCTGAAACAGGTGCGTGTAAGTGGTGGATTCAGGCCGTCTGAACACCACGTAAGGTCCACTTAAATTGCGTTAGAAGGGCCATCATGCTGGACATAATGAGGCTGCTCTAGGTCGTGGAAAACGTCTCAAGAAATTTTAAAGGTCAAACTGATGTATACGCTTCTAAGATATCCATGGTAATCAGTAAGTCTATGCAATCCAACAGCACACACAAAAGCCTTATTGTAAATAGGTTTGTCCGCCGATCGTGCGGATATGGCTTGAATGAAAGTGTTTTTTTCAACATTTATCGAACTTTGCAGATCTTCTGTTAAGTTTTATTAATGCTCAGTAGTTGTCGTCGCCAAATAAACTACAAATTGCTTATCGGATTTGCGCACCAATTGTTAATTACAAGTGCGAACTCCGTACCACTGTTGGCTTGAGGAAAAAGTTCCCACTCTTATGCACTCGCTCAATGAATGGCTGTTTTCATTGCCCGTTTATTGCTTGATCAGTAGCCTTGCTAATGGGCGACCGTTCAGATGAAGGAGTGACGATCAGGTAAGGCCGAACGCCACCCTAAGGGGTGAGATAATTATGCACATTCCCACGCCAGGCCGCTGTAGTGGTGGTGTCCATAAAATAGCGTTGAATGGAAGTGCCGTCCCATAAGTTCTGGTCCGCACTGCTGCTCTATGTCAAAAACTGTGTATTCCACCCTGCCGAATCACATTTTAAACAACTATTTTTGGCGCCTAGGGGAACAGCTTACTGACGATAACGGCGATCTATTTCGGACTAGGCTGTGGTCGTTTATTCTGGTCCTCATGCGGACCAGAATATTGTTTATTCAACTCCCTTCCGTTGAATAATACAAATGACCATAAGTATCACCCGCACGTAACACAACAAATCCTATTGGTAGTCCGAGAAGCGTTCCCAAAATCTGAAACCGACTTTCCAAATAGACCGAGCTCCAGCCAAAATCTCCTATCAACTCTTGAAGTTCTGCGTGTTGAGAAACATAATTTTCAGGATCTTTCCACATTAAGTTATTGGTTATTTTTGCTTCTCCCCGGCGAGTTACTCAGCGAGGACTGCATTTAATGTTCTCAGACGATATTTGAGGTATTGAGAAATCTGCACCGTCTGTGTGGAAAGCAGTGATCGACTGCACTAAGCTGTCTTATGTTAGGAGATCTCGCAATCGTCTTCGGGAGTGTCTTCTGGTCTGCAAGCTAAATGGTACCTGCAGACGAGTTGATAGCCCCAAGTGACTTATCAACATGAAAGACAATCTCCCTACGTCAGCTTAATTGGGTTCGTAATCCTGATCTATCAAGTATAGATTGGGCGTTGCTATTCGACGACGCCAAGCGATCGGAAAGCAGCTGCTGAAGTCGGGTAAAACTTGAATGGAGGATATTCCTAACATCAAGGAGCGGAGGATTTTTAATCCACTATTTCCTAAGCGGTAGCCTGTCTCACTAGACCTGTATGCTTCCTGCACTTCCAGGATCTTGAGGAACAAATCCAACATCGATACGACACACTTCCCCCGGAACCCTCGGCCGACCTTGTCACCGGCAGACTGGCTGCTTCCTGCAAGCGTGGACTGGCGTCACTCCAACGCAGTCATGCCGCCCTCGAAAAGGATTTGGTATACCTCAGCGAGCGTGTCACTCAATTCTCAAGAGTGGCTGACCACCTCTATCCGGTGTACGCTGGTGAACGGCAGTTGCAACTGCTGACCCGCCGTAACGCCGTTCTCGAGGCATGGCGGGGCCTGGCCAGCGTGGCTGATCAGCGCGGACGATCGCTTCTCGATTGCTATAATTTGCATCGTTTCATTGCAACGGCGCGGGATCTTTTGGAGTGGATGGAGGAGAAGAAGGAGGAAATGAGCCACCCCAGCACTCTTAGGTATGCAACCCTTACTGTAATTTATCAGCACGAAATTACTCAAGTTTCTCTGCGCCTGGTCGACATCTGACGGCACTCACTGTTGTTCAAAAAATGCCAGCACAAGAAACTCACTTAAAGTTGTATGTGAAAATCCCCTGAATTTAGAAGCATTCATAACAAAAAGGAAGGGAATTGGAACGGCCATCTTGGTTTATTTTAAGTCATCAACCAACATACCTTAGTTAATTACCTGAGACTTGAACCCGCATTCAATATAAAGGAACTAAAGAGGAATAATTATCTCCTGATTTGGATGGATAACGTGTTGGTTTGCAGATTAAGGATCGTGTAACTTGCTACTCGGGAGATGGTTCTCGATATGCTGTCATTTTTAAATGCGTACTAAACCTTGTACAGAACTACACTAGAACCACTAAGACTATTCTTATAGAAAATAACACCCGAGGTTGAGCGACCTTATCTGGGTCGTAAAGGGAGATGTCCGACAGAACTTGTGCTGTCTGTGTTGACCAAAAGAGTCATGCTATATTTGTAGGTTTTCGGCAAT